ATTGACCTGGTTTAGTGGTAGGAAAGCTATTGATTATGTGGTGGTGTGAGCTTATATAAGCATAAATTGACCTTGCAGGGTATTTTACTTGTCTTGCAACTGTGGTTCATTGCAGTACACAGATGTGTAAGCAATACTGTTATATAAGTTAGAGTGTAACACACTACAAATTAATCTCTTCAAGAAGGAATGGAATTTTATAATCTGCAGGAATGTTTAACATACACTTTACAGAAGAGATATTAAAGTCGGAGAAGGATAACAGAGGTCAAGTGGAATAAAAAGTAGGAGGGGAAATCACAGGACTAGGAAAATGAGTTGATCTAACTAGTCTTTTCAAGACTTGGGGTTCTTTTTTTAAAGTAGTTACATTTTCTTCTTTTAAAAGGTAAAAGTATTTTGGTGGGGTGGAGCAGTGTGTCAGTTAAGCTGCAGCGTAACATTAGGGGGGTTAAAATTGTATTTCACACCTAGGAATTCTTTTCTCCATTCATTATCAGATGCAAATATGGTTTGTCAGAAATGTTATTTCCTTGGGAGGAGGCCCAGTGTCCAGAGTTCACACAGGGCTATTCCAGAGTGGCACCACCCCTGACAAACTGCTGCATCGCTTTGCCAGGCTCCAAGCTCAGCGAGACAGCCCAGAAATACAATGACCAGAGGTTTCACTGAAACACATAGTCTGCTCAGCCTTTCTCCATATCCTCCCCCTCTCCAAGTCATTCTGGGGGCCGTTTCAGATATTGTTATCTTCCAGCAAAAAACAGGAGTTGCAACTATTTGGAAAACCAGCAGATTATTTGCCAACATGAGTGTATAGCCCAAATGAGAATAAATCATGCTTAAAAGTCGGTAAAGCAAAGAGACGTGGAGGTGTAAAAAAACAATTACAGCTTGCACCCAGTTGGGCTCTGTAATTTGTTGCACTAATGAAACATTTCTTTTAAGTGGAAAACCTTTGAAGAATACTAATACAATAATTAATATTCAGGTTACTAGGGAACCTGAGACTCTACTGACTGTAGCTAGAGGAGCCTTTGCAGAGGAAGCTACTCAGCACGGCTTTTTTCTGAAGCTTTATGAACGATGCTTCCAGGCAGCTGTGCAACCATTTTCTTTCCCTTTCCAAGATTCTACCATTCCTCTCTAATAACCAAGAAATCCAAGGACTTGTTTTGTCTAAAACAAGCTAGAGCTGACACAAATCTGAAAAGAGAGGAAGAATTCAAGTGGATTTAGAAACAAAAGGGTAATGTGGAGATGCTAAATGATTATAGAGTCATAAAGAACAAGATAAATAAGAAAAAGAACAAGACAGCTGAATTTCATAAATGAGATGTCTGAATAAAACATACTTGAATAGTTCTCTGTCTGCAGCAGTAAATATTGGAGAATATTTGTCCTAAATCACTGTTAGTAGGATGCCATTCACCTCCTGGTGTAGGTACATCATCTTTGCTAGCTTCTGTGTTGAAGTTGGGTAAAACCTCTTCAGTACTGGCTGACAACTATCACTGTGGAGCACCATAAATCTTAACCAGGCTGCAAGAGCAATGAACTAAGTGCCTGCACTTGCTCCTCTGAGGGCAGCCTAAATCTGGTGGTGCTGACATCAGCATTACAGATACTGAAGTAAGTGAAGAGCCAGGAGACTGGTGCCCCAAGAGAGGCTGGACAGAAATCAACCAGAGAAGAGTGACTGTGCACGTGGGAGGTATTAAAGAGAACATCACGGCTTGTACTTGCCTCATGATTCTTCCTGATTTTGAGGAACACATGAATAAACATCACGTGGCTGTCAAGACCCACTGACCACTGCCAGGCAGCAATCCAGCCAGGTGCACGTGAGCCTGCGCAGCAGAGCAGCTTCACAAGAAACTGCTCAAAAAAGGGCAAGGGCAGCTCTCTGGCAGCGAAGGAACACGGTTTACACACCTGCATGGTAAAGCTCAGCTAGGGAGTAGAGGGTCAACCTGGAATCCTGCACTCTGCTTTTTCTACAATGTGTTGGCAAAAACACTGTGGTTTGTGCCGTGTGTGGCTGTCAGCTGCAATCCTTTTGCTAATATGAAGACAAGTATTTCTTTCCTGCACTACACTTCTAATTCATATTCTTTTATTTGGCCTCAATCTGCTGGTAATGCAGCTTACAAAGAGAATTGATGTGTACTCATTGGCACACAGCGCTGTCTTCCAGGAACATGGAGCTACTGGCTCAGTTCACATACTCCTCTCCACTACCAGTACGACGGAAGGCAACAGCAAAAGCTGCAAAGCAAAACACAAGACAGCTTCTCTGAGAAATTCACTACCCCATGGGAAGCTGCTTTTGAGCCTTATTAATTAGAGGTTAGTTTACGCCCTGAAGCAGAAGGCATTAAATCCCCTATAAATATGCATGCCTGCTCTTCAGAACCTTGAGATAACACAGAGATGTTGTACAACTGACACCACGCCTGAGAAGCATCTAAGCGTTCACTCCATTTAACAGACGGGCAAACAGGGGAGGAAGTCAAGGAGCTTCTCTGCAGTCCAGTCAGCAGGTAGACTTCTTGTGGCGCTGGCAGGTGAATAATATGACAGAAGCAGCTCCGAGCTCTCCTCCAGAAGGTGGCCAGCTGTATTACCCAACTTCCGCTGCACGGCCCCTCTGAGATTAATTTCCTCTTCTGCAAAATGGGTGTGTTTATCTACCTACTTAATGAGATTTTTAGAACTGGATAATATTTGTGTTACACAATTATTATACATTACTGACACTAGACAAAGTCAGAAAAAAGAAGAGATGTACTGCCAAGGGATTATTAATTCATTTATTTCACCACATTTCTAGAAGCTTTGTTTCCCATAGAGCTCTGTCAATGCCTCATTTCTCAGCTAGAGTGTCCTTGCAAAGCCAGTTCCAGGCTCTTGTGCCTAAGTGTGATAAGTAAGTTGAGTTTGCTCCAAGTACGGAGCGTATACAGATTTAGTCAGTAGATTTTATATGATTTTTTTTTAAAAAGTCTTATTTTTTAAAGCCTCTATTGACCGACTGCTAAGAGCCTTTAAGTCTCCAGTATGGTCTGGGAGCAAGGACAACTATAAAATTTTAACACCGCATTTCCACAAAACAACAGAGAGGAGTCTGAAAGAATGTAAAAAGAAGGAAAATATCTATTCAAAAGCACACCTCTTCTGTGAAGTAATCATTTGCAATGTTCTAAACTGAAATACCTGTCCTTGGCCATATCAATGGAAATTTTGGATGATATCAAAGCATATCAAATTTCACAGTACTGTCATGAGAATTACAGCATGGGTTGTGTACATACGAACTAACTAGAACTAGCTAATACTCTAGCTGGTTTGGATATTAAAAAGCAATGAAACCATAACAGCACAGCACTTGAATATTACGTAACAAGAGTTTGTCCAGTCTGTGCTGAACTATGGGTTTCAAAAAAAATTTTTTGCTTGATATTTGAGCTAAGCTAAAACCAGGAAGCTCACCTCAGTGTACATATACTCCACATTTTCTAGGTGGCTTAGTGAACCCTGCTGTTCTGACTTTAGAGTATTTCCAGTTTGATCACTGGTTGATCACCCAGCTTGACTACTTATTACCCACATTTCTTGCTGGAAGGTAAAGACAGCAAGAGGAACAGGAAGCATCTTGTACTTATAGTAGAAGAGTCTCATATGACAGTTAAGATAGAGGGTATCGTGTTTGATTTCCACTGGCCTTGAAGCTGTAGACGTTTGCCCTAGTGGAAGTGGGAGATTGCAGAAGCAATAAATGAAGTCAAGCTGGAATGAGGAGTGGTTACTCTGCCACTGACTCATACACCTCGCAGAGCAGAAGAAGAGGAAGATTGCTGGGACGCAGTGGCTGGTCCATCCGGAAGGAAAAGAAGCCAAAAACAAAGATTGGAAAACAAAAAGCTTAAATACAGCAGGGGGAAGAGCAGATGAGAGCAGTTTAATCTCTTGTCAACTCTGTACAAGATACCCGCCTGTTCTGTAACAGAATGAGCCGCTTCTACAGCTCCTTATCATGCTCTGATAACTCTGTGCGCAACTAAAGCCCGCTCAAATTAATTCAAAGTTTCTGAAACCCTAACTCTGCTTATTCTCCTACCTCAGCTTTCATAAACACCATTGGTCAGTTATGATACACAGCAAACACAGCAATTTATGTTGCACAAAAACTATCAACATCTCCCCAAAGCTACTTCTTCTAAGAGCATCACACTGAGCATGTAGATACTAAGTTTTCAATGCTAATTGATTCCAAAGAGTTGGAAGGTAGGTCAGTTTATTTATTTTTAATGACCATGACAAAATCTTTAATTACGATCCATGTAATAATGTAATTCAAGAGAGCCTTTCCCCCTGGAGAAAACGGGGTTGGCACAGCGAAGCTGTTCTCTAAAACCAAGATGAAGCATTTCCAAACGCGAGTGGACGCTTTTCAGGGATCATTGTCCCTGCAGAGCATGTACTTATGTGCCATCCCCAACAAGGACAGATGTAATCACATGCTTACACACTCAGGGACCATGACATGTAGCATCAAACCTAATGTGTGCCTCGGGCACTTCTGTAATAGAAGCAATAGTCTTGGGGTAAGAAATACCCTGCTTCATTGCACAGTCTTTTACCAGATTGTTCAGTGTTCAGATGGACAAAATTACTGATTTTTTTTTTAAATACTGTAGGTTTTGTGTCACAAATATTTTAATCCATTCTGCTTAAGTTATTCTGCTTAAGCTATTCATTACAGTGGAGATTGGTGAAATTACTTCACTTGTGTGGTTCTTTTATCCTACTCAATTTGCACAGTTAAATTCAAATAAATAAGAAGAGCGCTAGCATCAAAAGATTAACAGAAATGCATAGCTATGAATGCAGTCTAAAAGCAATAAAAAAAAATCTTTACAAAAAGGAAGATTTAAATTTATGGCTTGTTAGACTAATCTAAGGTCAACAGTTTTTCTAAATGAGACAATGAAAGTCACCTGAATTTTGCAGATTCTTCTGGTCTCCTTATCCAGGTGCAGTTCTGCAGTTTTGTGACTATGTGAAGATAATAATCTTCTGAATATCTAAAAAAGGCAACAACATCAAACACTATAATATATACATATGTATATTTAGAAACAGTCTCTAAAACATTCAAATGATGCATGTATTAATAATAATGTGCATGATGCATATATAATAGATTGCTTTTGGAACTCCACGACCTATTTTATTTTTGTAATTTGTAACAGTACTATCCTCATTTAATTACTGTGACCTATTAAACATCTCTACTTAATAGTGATGTCCTAATGAACTTTTCCTTTCAGAAAGTTTCAGAAGTACACTGGTTTCAAGCTTAAGTATTTGACAACAAATACCGCGAAGTTATTAGAAACTCTCTCAAGTGCAGAAGTCCAAAAAAATTAAAAAATATCCTTCTTGTACTTGGTGTTTTAAACTTTGAAAATGTTTTGAAATGCTGCTCTTGCAAACCAGGATGAAACACTACACTTCTTGTGCTTTTCCTTTCATTTACCTTACAGAGTCCCTAAAGCTCAATTCAATCATCTGAGGCCACAGACCAATATTTACAGATGTAAGTTTTCCTTCAAATTATCTCTTAAATAAAACAATCTGTTGTTTTACATCAGCCAGCACTTTGGTAACCAAAGAGCTTTCTCCTTTTAAACTCTGTTGAGAAACTTAAATTTGTCTGTATGTGAAATACTTTGAACATGTAAGTCAAAAGAATGGAGACATTTCTTCCCTTACAGGTTCAATGTGGATACTTTCTCCATTTGTGCTTGGATCCTAATACAGGTTTTAAAAACCCAGTAACTCTGACTTATAAAGAGGGTTGGGGAAATGGGAAGAAGAGATGATATGGATGCCACAACTACTAATTCTATGGGAGTCATGTCTCCAGAAAAGATCCACCTTGTATTATTTTAGCAAAAATTTTTTAGCATTGGCCCAAACCCAAATGATCATAAGTTTATTTAAGCTGGAACTTAGAAGTGTGTATTTTTGAGTTGGCATGGCAAGAAACCTAATTTGTTTTTAAATGGAGCATGAGAATTGGTAAAAAGGAATATGACAAAGACTGTGGTGGCTTGCAGCAGCAGAGGTTGACAACCCACAAGCTTCCCTCTCTGTGTGTTCAGCGGGCTTTTAGTACCATCACTCTATGTTAAACACTTGAAAAAAACAGATCCCTTTTTTTGTTGCTTCATACAAGTAAGGCAACTGCTAAAGCTAACTTGTTCATGTACCCCTGAGTAAAATCACATCCCATTTCCCCATGGAAAAAATAAATTAAACTTTTAAGAGGAATACTGCATTAGAACTGATCTTTGGCTTAAGCTGTACCTGTGAAAACACATACAATTTTCATTCTCTAGACCTAGCAAACCCTTAAAGGAACTAGACCATTGTGACTAAACTGATTGCACTGAGACCTTGCACAGCTCAAGAGCAGGA